CCTCTGGGAACAAAGCAAAATAGATAAAAAGGAATTCATTGTTCTAATCAATACTCAAATAATCCTAGTTGTTGTGAGTTAACTGTCTTCCAGGCCAAGCAATCACCATTTGAGAGGTCAGCTATACTCCCACCACACACAAGCAAAAGATCATCCCAGCTGTTTTGGTTGTTTATACCCCATCATCTCCACAGAAGATCCCAGGAGGGCACAAGGTTCTTACCCGAGTCTCCAGCTGTTCCCTAATACCTGGTATAGAAGACTAGGGCTGAGAGTCCATCGTACAGCTATGGGGAAGTCCCCATACCTGCTGGGTAAAGCTTTTGAGATGCAGCCAGTTCAAGGAGGGGTACCCACAATGTCTATAAGTAGTCCCTCACTATGAAATATAATCATTGGTTCCCCAGAGTGAACTTTGGTGGGCTCATGCCTCAGTTTGTCATTGGGACCTTAGGAGGAGGGGTAGAAAGTACTTATGTCTCTCCTTGAGAAGGAATTTTAGCAACACCCGTCAGTTCCTACTATTATAATTTCTAGCTTGGACTTAATCTATAAAATGTTTGGAGGCACCTCTCAAATGAAAATACAGAGTGCTATTACTATTAAGACAAGTTAGGAAACTATCCTTCAAGAATATAATTAGCAGGTAGAAGTGATAAAACAGATTGCTTGTTATCCTAGAAGAAAGGGCTTTCAATTCAGAGTCAAGAGATCTGAACAATTCTAGGATGCTCAAAAGATAATTTTACATATTACAATCAAGGACTCTGATAATAAGTTCTTTAATGTGAATCACAACTTTCCATCTAAACACGTCACAGTCTGTACTATTTGTCCAATGGCAAATCTTCCTTTTGGTTATCCATATCACCATGTGATGATATGTCAAACAAATAAATAAATAAACAAACAAATAAATATCAAATATAATAAAATGTATAATGCTCCAGCTTATTTTATGTCCCTGAATGTAGCTAATACATATTCATTTATTGTCAGAACACATTAAAGCCATAGTCAAGCACACTTCCCACTTACTGGACATTGGTAGAACACTTCATTTTTATTTCGGCCCTCTGCAGCTTCCACGGCTATGTACTGACTCAAGCCCGTATGTATGCAAAAGGTTAAAGGGAGGCAGTATTTCAGTCCTTGTCTCTGCTGAAATCCTCCAGCAGCAGTATCAACATCTAGTAAATCTTCAGAGCGGTAGTGATTTGACAGTGCCATACTTCCCAGCAACCTGAGAACAGACACAAAGTTGTCAACAGCAGAGCAACAGAAACAGACAGGGCGCGGGGGTTGAGGTTCATCTTCTCGGTGAATAATTTCACGCTGAAGAGTTTTGTTTTGGTTTGGTTCTTCCTATGCATCCTTGGCCAGCCTGGTACCACACTCTCTGTTCAGAGTGAGCTTGGATTATTTGACAAGGTTTCTCTGTGTGTAGTCCTGGCTATCTTAGAACTCACACTGTATATTGTAGAATATTATTTTAAGATGTGTTACATTTGTTTATGCTGTGGAATGTTTAATGATGCAAAGATGTGTTGCATTCTTTTGTCGCATTTGTTTAACTCTGTGACACTGAGTTACTTTGTCTAAAACACCTGATTGGTCTAATAAAGAGCTGAATGGCCAATAGAGACAGGAGAAAGGATAGGCAGGGTTGGCAGGCAGAAAAAATAAACAGGAGGTGAAATCTGGGAAGAAAGGATTAAGGAGCGAGGAAGATACCAGGGGCCAGTCACCCAGATACACAAGCTATGGGAAAAGAAGTAAAGAAAGGTATACAGATGTAGATAAAAACCCAGAGGCAAAAGATAGACGGGATAATTTACATTTAGAAAAGCTGGCTAGAAATCAGTCAAGCTAAGGCCAGACATTTATAAGAAAGAATAAGCCTTTGTATTTATTTGGGAGCTGGGTGGCAGGCCCCCAAGAGTAAAAAAAACAACACTGCAGACCAGGCTGGCCTCAGAGATCTGCCTGCCTCTGCTTCCTGAGTGCTGGGATTAAAGGCGTGCACCACCACTGCCTGGCTCAAATTCATTCTTTAAATCAGAATATTCTTATTTAGATTTAAAAATTAAATGTCTAAGGTACTTAAACGTCAGTCATTTTAGAAGAATTATAACTTTACTGCTTTTAAGGAACTTAGTGTTGTGGTTCATGCTGTAACCCCACACTAAGACTAAGGCAGAAAGATGACTGAAAGAAAGAAACTAGGGCTATATAGGGAATTTTTGGACAGTGTGCACTAGAAAATACTCTCAGGCTGGGCAGTGGTGGCACACACCTTTAATCCCAGCACTCAGGAGGCAGGGGCAGGTGAACCTCTGTGAGTTCGAGGCCAGCCTGGTCTATAAAGAGTTCTAGGACTGGCTCCATAGCTTCTGAGATACTCTGTCTTGAAAAACCAAGAGAGAGAGAGAGAGAGACAGAATGAGTGTAGGTGCCGAGTCATTGGGAGTCCCTGGAGTTGGAGTTACTGGCCATTGTGAGTTGCCCAATGTGGGTGCTATGAACTGGGGACCTGTGCAAGAGCAATATTCACCCTTAACCACTAAGCCATCTCTCCAGCCCCCTAAACTGGCCTGTTTATGCTTCATCCCTGCTATTTCATTTCTGAGTAGTACTCTGTTATCAGGAGGATGCTCTTAGAGAATGCCAGGGGATACTCAACGATAGTAGAGAGAACTTGCATCAAGTTCCTAAAACATTTTGCCTAACTTGTAACAGGGTAATAAACACATCAAGTGTCCTTAGCAGGTTAGTTAACTATACTCACAAATACACGCACATATATCTCTCTCCTGTGTCCCACAGCTCCCATCCCCAACCAGATCTCACTTTAATCATAAATATGTGTTGTCAGGCATAATGCTTCTATGAGACACATTTATTATGGTTAAAATTTAACTTAACCTATATTATCTTATAGATTGCTATAAAGAAAAGGGAACTCCCCCTCTCAACAATACATACATTCATAATATATAAACATATGTTTTCTTATATATAAGATAACTAAAGAAAACTGTGAACAAGATGTGTAATGTCAATGTCTGAGAATTACTCAAACATCAAACATCTTACCCTGGAACCACTAACTTCTGCCCATTGTGAATCCGGTACGAACAGCGATAATCATCAGGGAGCTTGCAGCCAATCTGAGCTTCCACAGCATCCAGGTCTTCCTCACGTGCACCTTCTGCAAAAGCACACCAGAATCAGAACTGTGTGTGCACAATGAGACTTCAATCTAGTAGATCAGTTGCCAACTCAAGAAACTATCTTATAGCAAGTGAATTCTGTTCAACATATACTAACAAAATATAGGGCAATGAATTGAAAATTAATTTTAAACACCGAATAAAGTCCTCAGTTTCCTCTTAACAGGAAAAACACTAGCACAAAGTAAAATGGAAAGGGGAACCACCAACAAAATACCCCCACACAGTAGCCAGAGGTGTGCACATGTTTGTATCTCCTGGAGAGAGAGTTCAAGGTGAATTCCAAAAAAAGGAAAAACAGAAAATAATCATCTAAAATCACCTTGATTTTAAGCAATTATCAATTCTAAAACAAGTGGCCAAAGAAATGAGCCCAGCTTTAGGCAATACTATAGGACTAATAGATTAAAAAAGAAAGGGGGGCATCAGAGTCCATGAAGTAGAAAAGGCCCTGTTCAAATAAATAAACATGCTTTTGCTAGGTTACAGAAAGCCAACTCCTAAGAAAAAGTGAACTGGAAACAAACCAGTCTTCATGGACAAAAAGCGGATTTCCCCAACTTTACCAACCCTAGACCAGGTTAATGCGATCAACCCCCTGGTGGTCTGCAGAAAAAGCAGAAGGAAATCTCTAGAAGAAAAACTTTTACCCCAAGATCCAATAATGCTGTGCAGTCACTCAAAAGAACTAAGCTTCAATAAAAACAGGAACTGACTAAAGAGAGTGCTGAGACATAAGAAACAGTCTAAAAATTAAAATCACAAATCAACACTAAGGGGCTCAGTATGGACTAACATGTATAGGGACCTGAACTGGAGCCCAAATACCCTCCCATAAAAGGCGGAGGGAAATGATCAGAACTAAAACTCTTTCAATGCCCGGGAAGTGGTAAATATTAAATTCTATTAGCCTTCAATAAATCAAAAATGCGTGTTTTAATCTATATTGTGATCACTAAAAAGGAAAAAAGAAAAAGGAAAGAAATTAAACATAATTAAGAATGCAAAAAAGAGTGAACATTATTTAAATGACATATAAAGAAGTATCTCTAAGCCAAATAATCTGATGAAAGGACAGACCAGGTAAAGAACAGGGGCTCAAGATGCAGTGCAGAGGTAGAGAGCACAAGCTTAGAAGGGGTCGGGCCTTGCCAGGGGTGGTAGCGCACACCTTTGATCTCAGCACTCTGGAGGCAGAGGCAGGTGAATCTCTCTGAGTTCAAGGTCAGCCTGGTCTCCAGAGAGTTCAGGACAGTTGGGGCTACGCAAAGAAACCTTGTCTGCGGGGAGCAAGATGTGTTATGACTCAGTTTCAATTTCAGCACTGAAGTAATAAAAAAAATTTCTACTCAAGAGACTCATCTTACTACAGACATGGAAAAAGAAAGCTAGGATGGCTGTACTCAGAACACACAAGACTGGCTTTAAATCAAACAGCTGTACTAAAACTAAGGGAGAACTTTCACAGTAGTAACAGGTTAAATTCGCTATGTAGGAATCAACTTTATATACCTAAGTAAGACAGCATGCGCTTGTGCACAAACACACATACATATATGAATACACACATTTTCCCCCTCTTAAACCCTGGAGTACACTGCAAGGGGACAGCAGGCTAAGCAGGAAGTACCACCTACACCCCTAAATATATTCTAATGTCAGAGTTAAAATGGCAAAAAAGGTTTACAAGCAGTGAATTAATTCTCCAATGCTGCAATGGGTATTAGCAGCTTAAACAATGCTCACTTGCTTGCTTATTTTGCAAATAAAGGTGAGGCGAGGACAGTCGGCAGGGCAAGGCTCCTTGCCTAAGCCCCTCTCCCACACAGGCACACACCCTGCCCCTCCTCTGCCGGCTTAGCTGAGAGGAGGAGTACACTGAGCTTATCCCCGTAGCACACCACGCCAAGAACTCATTATCTGTTTCTACAGATCAAAAATTCAAGTAAACCCAACCTCTATTTAAATCAGTGTTGAAATCGTGGTGTTAACTGAGCTGCTAGCTCATCTTACCCATCTTTTGCTTCAGATTCTCTAAGCTCACTTATTCGCAGAATTCAACAACCTGCAGTTTTTTCAAAGAACCTCTCAGAGCCCCCTGACATTTCCTATTAGGTAGCTTTCTCCTCAACATACCAGTCTGCTTACTCAAAGTAAACAGGAAAAACATATTATGAATCTGCCTTCTGAAAGGCCCAGATGCGTTTTAATGTAGGCCCATTCAGGATCATTTTCATTTTAATTAACAACCAATGCCATTCATTTGGGACCTTAACTATACCTGCAAAATCTCTTCACCTTTCTTTTTTTTTTTTTAAGAATATTTTTCTTTTTTTAAAAAAAGATTTATTTATTATGTATACAATGTTCCTCCTGCATGTACTCCTCTATGCCAGAAGAGGGCACCAGAACCTCATTACAGATGGTTGTGAGCCATCATATGGTTGTTGGGAATTGAACTCAGGACCTCTGGAAGAACAGCCAGTGTTCTTAACCTCTGAGTCATCTCTCCAGCCCCCGACCTTTCTTAAAAAATAGAGAAGTTACTGTAAATAATTGGAATATATTCAAAAATGGGAATCAAAATAACTTCTTATATCCCTGACTTATATGTATATAAGGAGAAATAACTGTACCATGCATGTATACCATAAGCTGAAAATCTTGGGCTACTTCAGAACAGTGCCTACCACAATAGGAAATTTTAGCAAACCTCCCAGTAACTAATAAAAACAAAAAGACAGATGCTAGAGAGATGGCTCAGTGTTTTAATAGCACTGGCTCACCTTACACAGGACCTCGGTTCAAGTTCCAGAACCCACATGGCGGCATCTGATATCCTCTTCTGGCCTCCAAAAATACCAGGCACAGCATATGGTGCATAGATGTACACAGATAAAATGCCCACACACATATAGTATTTTTTCATCTTTTAAAAAAATAAGCAAAAAATGGGCAGTGTCGGCCCACATCTTTAATCCCAGCACTCAGGAGGCAGAGAGTGAATTTGAGGCCAGCTTGGTCTCTCAAGCCAATTCCAGGACAGCAAGGGTTACAGGGAAACCTTGTCTCAAAAAGCAAACAAAAACCATTAAATTTGAATCCAGGTGGTACATGCCTTTAAGCCTAGTGCTTGGAAGGCAGAGGTAGGTGAATCTGTGAGTTCAGGACAGCCTGGTCTACAAAATGAGTTCCAGGAAAGCCAGGGCTGTTACACAGAGAAATCCTGTCTCAAAAACTAAAAAGCCAAACAAAAAAAAAACCCCACCATAGTTAACAAAATAAGATAAGGAAATACATGATTACAATTCCAGAAAATCAAGATTGGACATCAAACACACACACCACCCAACTCTCTTCATATCCTTTCTCCAATGTGAAATGAAGGTACTTGTAATTAACCAGGGTTTGGTAAATTATAGTTAAGAGGCTAAATTCTTTTTATTGGAATTCAGCCACTCCCTTTTGTTTCTGTATTATCTATGGCTGTTTTCCAGAAACAACAGACTAACAGCAGGGCTAACACAGAATACAGGTCTCTATGAGACCATGGGTCCCACAAACTCTAAAATATTTACTGTTTGTTCCTTTAAAGGATTAAACTCCCAACTCAATTCTAAGCCAACACACAAGGAAAACATGGTTTGAAAATACACAATTAAGAACATCAATATAATATAATCTCAAGATACTCTATAAGATTACCTTGTGTCCAATGCCTAGTTATCCGCTAATTTTCCTTTTTCCTGACACCTTTATAACCTTAAAATTGAACAAGATCTGCGACACCTGAGGTCAGCAGCTAGGTTCTTAGTTGTGAAACTCCTAAGTCTGAAATTCCTAGCATTTCCAGCACTGTAGATATTCTAGACTTTAACCTTATTCCAAACTCATGACACACCCTGAGAACTGGCACCTTGTGGTAATGCAGAAGTGGCCAAGGAATCTGTCAGCTAAATACAGAACAGACACAAGGAGCCTAGGAATAACAAAGGACAAAAGAAGAAAAGCTGTAAATCTGTCCAAAAGAACAATCACACTACTGTCTCACAGTCTAAATGCCATAATATAGAGTGACCCTCTAAGGAGACCTTGGATATGCTAAACAAAATGGGTTAAATTCTCTCCCTTCAACCACTTCCAAAAGTGAGACAGGTAATGGTGGCTCACACCTCTGACCCCAGTACCCTGCTGAGACAGACAGAATGAGTTCCAGGACAGTCAGGGCCACACAAAAATAACCTGTCTCAGAAAAACAAACAAGAAAAACATTTAGTTTCATGTCTACCTTTGTGCTGTTATAAACTATCACCTTTCGCATATCACCACTGCATTCTTATTTTCAGATTATGTCCTCCTGAAGTTGTTGAAATTAGGAGCAGCGGGGCTGCGTCCCCGGCACCTGGCCGCCCTCATGGCTAGCTTATGCCCCGAAATAATTACACGGAAACTGTATTCTTTCAAACACTGCCTGGCCCGGCTAGTTCCAGCTTCTTATTGGCTAGCTCTTACATATTGTTCTAACCCATTTCTAATATTCTGTGTAGCCCACGAGCTGCCTTACCAGGGAGGATCTTAACCTGTGTCTGTCTGGAGCGGGAGAATCATGGCGACTCCTCGACTCAGCTTCTTTTTCCCAGCATTCTCTTCTGTCTACTCCGCCTACCTAATTTTCTGTCCTATGAGGGCCAGGCAGTTTCTTTATTATTACAAGACCCACCTCCATCATGAAGTAGTTTATGCTCATGGCCAGGTGATGTTACCACTCATTTCTTCTTAGAGAATAAGCTGTTAAGATTACTAACCGGGGACTCCAGTGTTCCACCCTACTACCTTCTACTAAAACCATTTATTCTGCCTTCTAACCCAGATTTAAGCATCTTTTCATGAAATCATGGTTTGTCTGAAAGTAACATTTTCATGAGAAATTACAATGGAAATCTGAAAGAATAAAGGAATGATAATTCAAAAAGATTCGTTCTAATGAGGAAGAGTAAAAAAGAACAGATTCCAGTTTTAGCTTAGCAAAACACAGCAAACTCATGGTTCCACTTAGTGAATAAGTCTGAAAAAACATAAAGTGGAAGCAGATTATAGTGGTATATTTTTTTTGTTTTAATAAAGCTTGCCTGAAGATCAGAGTGCAGAGCTAAGCTACTACTCAGCCACAAAAGTCAAGCAATGGTAGCACACACCTTTAATCCCAGGACTAGGGAGACAGAGGCAATTGGATCTCTGTGAGTTCAAGGCCACTCTAGGCTACACAAGATCGAGTCTGTCTAAAAGAGAAACTGAGCTCACACAAAGCTGATCCCTGCATTTGGGATCACATGCCTTTATAAGGCCAGCACTAGCAGGTGGAGACAGGAGCGATATGGCTGGGCACAGAGGGGAATATAAAGGGAGAAGAGACAGGAACTCAGTAGTGTGGAGTCTGAGGTTGGTGGAGAGTACTGAAGGATCGCCCTTTTGGTCTGAAGATTTGGTAGAGGTAAAAGGTCTCTCTAGTGGTTGGCTGCTCTGCTTTTCTGACCTTCAGATTGAACCTCAATTATCTGTTTCTGGTTTTATTATTCATGTTACACAGATAAGCCGTTACAAATGTATTTCACAGGGATTAGCTAACAAATCCAACAGAAATAGCTTGTTACTATTTCTAGTCATAATTAGGCAACAGAATAGAAAGAACATAGATTCTGGGGTCAAATAGACTTCAGTTCAAATCTTGGTTTGACTACTTTGTAAAACTCTGCCAAAAGAAAAATTTCTAGATTCTTGTGTTATTCTAACATGCTTAAAGACCCAGGTTCTTTCCTAACATTTGATAGACATCAAACAAGAAAAGGTATTGACAAAAGTTTTCAATTAAAAACTAATCTTGGGTTGGAGAAATGATCCCATGAATAAACATGTCTTGTCACATAAGCATGACAACTGGAGTTTGGATTCCCAGAAATTACATAAAAGCTGAGCAGATGAGGCAGCATTTGGGAGGTAGAGACAAGAATACTTGGGGTAAGCAGGCTACCTAGACTAGCTCAGTCATTGAACTCAGTAAATAAAGTGGAGAGCGATCCAGAGAGACATGTGATGTCCTCTAGCCTCCAAATAGGGATGCGGGAGCACATGTGAGCATACATACACACAAAACAATAAAAACAATAATCATCTTTAGGGCTGGGTTACAGTTCCATGGTAGAATACTTGCCTAAAATGCATGAGGTCCTGGCCTCAATCACCAATATTGCAAAAATAAAAACAAACCCATAATGGTTATTCTCAAGCAATTTTAGCATTGTTTCTTTATATAAAACAGCTATAAAGATAAAGTAGCTCAGCTTTTATTTAATATCCATATGGGTTCCCAGGTTAACCAAAAAAGAGCAAGATTCTTGTAACAACATCAGCACTATGCTTCCTTGTCTATTAACAAAATGTGTATGGTGAACTAAGAGGTTGGATTAGCCCAGGTACACAACAGATCAAAGTTATTTCAACTAGTCTGTTGTTAATGTAAATCTAAATGTCAATGGGGGACCCTGTATTCCTAGTACCTTTCAGAGATAAAACCATCCGAGGACACCTGGGCTCCAAGTACTTCTTGAGGTCATCCCAGGCCTTTTTAATAGCAGCATAATGGTTAATGTATCTTCCTACATCTGAGTAAGTAGCGATGAAGAGAGATTTCCAGCACTGATTCTTCCGGGATTTCTCTTCCCTAAATAGATTTAAAAAACAAAACAAAACACACACAAGATTAAGAAAGCTTTTAAAATGATTTTTAACATATCTTTTTCTTTTCCTCTGCTTTTTGAGAGAGGGTCATATATAGTAAAGGTTGGTCTTCAATTAGCTATGCACCTAAAGATAGCCTTGATTTTCATGCCTCTAGATGCCAAGTACTAGAA